CCGCGGCAGGGGAAAGCAGGCAGGTGTGAGCACTGGGGAGCGGGCCTGTGCGCACACACACACCTCGGTAGGTGTTGGTGGCAGCCGGCGCGCACCCCCGGGGCAGCCGCTCGGAGTGCCTGCGCATCTCCCGCCCGTGTGTGACACCCATGGTGTCCCACCGAGCAGGGTTATCGCTGGAGGCCTGTGAAGGACTGCGCTGTGTGTCCAGGGAACGACGGCATGTCTAGAAAATCAGCTCCTTCCAACTGCTAGAAGTGCTTAAATGTAACACCCCTAGCAAGCAAATGAAACTGGTGCTAGAACTTAAGCCCGTCGAAAGCTTTTGACAGATAATTTATGAAACCCACAGCAGAAACAGAATAAACCTCAGTCTTCTCATCAATGAGAAGCAAAGCAAAGTGCATGAATTAAAAGCATGCTAAATGGCAGAAACAAAAGGATAGGATTATCTTTTGTTTCATTTATTTTGGCAGTAGAGAAAAGTAAATGTGTGTCAAGCGAAACGCTAGGTCAAACAGAATGGAAATAGGAAGGAAAACATGCTGTCAAATAAACAAAGCTTTCTACTTGCCTGAAATGCTGTCTGCAGTTCTAGTCACCTGCTGTCAGAAAGGATCCTGCAGAATTTGAGGGAACTTGAAGATGGTATATCAGGATTTGGGGGGGCTGTGGAAAAATGCAATGAAAGGATTTTTTTCTAAAATGATGTATGACATAGGAAGAAAGATACATAAGCTATGATCAAAGTATACAAAGCTCACAAATGGTTGGCAAAAATATATTGGGAGTGTCTTCTTGTCACAGAGAAAAGAAGAGTCATTATAACAGTGAAAATATCAAGTTTGCTAAAACAAAACAGTCACAGAATCATTTAGGTTGGAAAAGACCCTTAAGATCATCCTGTCAAACTGTTAACCTCATGCTGCCGAGTCCGCCGCTAAACCAGGTCCCTAAGCACCACACCTTTTAAATACCTCCAGGGATGGTGACTCAGCCGCTTCCCTGGGCAGCCTGTTCCAGTGCTTGACAAGCCTTTTGGTGACAGCCTGGTTGTCACAGAATGTATAATTAGGTAAACAGTATTTCATATTGTGGAGGTCAACAGCTCTGAGATGAAGGAGAAACTAGAGATTTGCACGGGCAAAAGTACAGATTTATAACGCTAACAAAAGTATGGAAAGGGATATAGGATTTCAGTCTTGAGTTTAGCCTTGGTTTTAATTTTTAAAACTTAGGTTAAGATTTTCATTTTGTTTATCCTGTATGTGCCTTCTGCAGGATGTATTGCATCTTTCTCCAAAGCACCTAGTGCTAACCACTTCTGGAAACAGGAGATGGGACTAGCTGGGCTATGCTGTCATTTGTTGGCTGTCATCATGGCTCTCGCTTCTATCATCTGATGGTTCTTTGGGAGCCTGTGCAAAGTAAGCTGGTGTCCAGTTTCAGAGCTAGAATGGACTGGGTGCAGCCTGGCTGTTTCCACAACTGACACCACTTCTGTGTCTGCCACTACGAAGTGACATGCTGGAAGAAGTCTTTGTGATGCGAACTGGTAGCTTCAGTCGTAGCGCCCTTAATCAAATTACACCATGGGAATTGACCTTTCCTCAGGCAGGCAGGAGGAGCAGATACAGCAGTAAAGCTTTCCTCCCTCCTGGGGAAACAGTCTCAGCAAATTAGGAAAGTAGGCAATACATGTACTTTATTTCTAGTTCTTATATAAAAACTATACCTTATATCTAATAATGTTATATACTTATAAGTAGACAGTAGTGGGTATTAGTATATACTTGTATCTACTAATGTTAAGGGACAGTACATTTTTTCTGACAAATATACATTGTCATACCAATTGACATTTTTTTAATGACTATATGAAAGCATCCCCAGTCCTTACTTTGGAGAGCTAGTCACTTTAGGTGCACAGCAAAGCACAGAACGTAGCATGGGCTAATTTACTTTCTCTGTTGACAGAGTACATCAGCTCTCGGCAGACTCTACTGTGTAATGCCACAGTTGTACCGCCTCTGGTTACCTGTATGCCCTTCTGAAGTCTATTGGAGTCTGTATTTTGCATTGATGTTTAGTGTTGTTTCACTTTTTCATTACTTGTTTTTACTTGTTTTCTTTATTTGCTCTTAAGATTCTGTTGTAATAGCATTTTACTTTTTTTTCTTTCCCCCTCCCCCCCCCAAAGATCTTCAGTCTTGATCTTGGAGGCATATCTGCTATTGTACTGAATGGCTATGATGCGGTAAAAGAATGCCTTGTTCATCAAAGTGAAATTTTTGCAGATAGACCGTCTCTTCCCTTGTTTAAGAAGCTGACAAACATGGGAGGTAAGTACTAATGTCTTTTATATAAAAATGTAATTGCTGTCCAATAGATGGGTTTGTCATCACATGAAACATTTGCTTTAGCTGTCTACTTCTTTATCTCATTTCATAAAATCATAGAATCACAGAATGCTTTGGGTTGGAAGGGACCTTTAGAGGTCATCTAGCCCAACCCCCCTGCAGTGAGCAGGGACATCTTTGACTTGGCCAGGTGGCTGAGAGCCCTGCCCACCCTGGCCTTGAATGTTTTCAGGGATGGGCCCTCCACTGCCTCTCTGGTCAACCTGTGCCAGTGTTTCAGCACCCTCATTGTAAAGAATTTCTTCCTTATATCTAGTCTAAATCTGCCCTCCCTTAGTTTAAAGCCATTGCTCCTTGTCCTTTTGCAACAGGCGCTGCTAAAAAGATTTTCCCTATCTTTCCTGTAGGCCCCTTCAGGTACTGAAAGGCCACAATAAGGTCTTGTTGAACCTCCTGAGGTTCACACAGGCCCACTTCTCGAGCTTGTCCGTGTCCCCCTGGATGGCATCCCGTCCTTCTGGTGTGTCAGCTGCACCACTCAGCTTGGTGTCGTCTGCAAACTTGCTGAGGGTGCACTTGATCTAAGTCATTGATGAAAACGTTAAACATCACTGGTCCCATATGGACCCCTGAGGGACACCATTTGGACATCGAGCCAATACTTGATGCTTCTTTAAAGTTATTATTTGGAAAGGATTGTCACTCTTGGACTATGTTCCACAGCAAGATGTGTGTAATTTTTTGCCTTGTTAACTAATTTTATTATCTTGTGGGGGGAAAATAAAGTGTTGCATAAAATACTGTGTCAAAATATTTTTTCAGGCTTACTGAACAGTAAATATGGCAGAGGATGGACAGAACACCGCAAATTAGCTGTAAATACCTTTCGAATTTTTGGATATGGTCAAAGGTCCTTTGAACACAAAATTTCAGAAGAATCTATGTTTTTTCTTGATGCCATTGATACATACAAAGGGAGACCATTTGATCTTAAGCACTTCATAACAAGTGCTGTTTCAAACATTACTAATTTGATTATTTTTGGAGAACGTTTTACATATGAAGATACTGAATTTCAGCACATGATTGAGATTTTTAGTGAAAACATTGAATTAGCTGCTAGTGCTTCTGTATTTTTATATAATGCTTTCCCTTGGATTGGTATCTTGCCATTTGGGAAACACCGGCAGCTGTTTAAAAATGCAGCTGAAGTCTATGACTTTCTTCATGAGCTTATTGAACGTGTCTCTGAAAATAGGAAGCCTCAGTCACCTCGGCATTTTGTAGATGCATATCTAGATGAGATGGATTGCAATGAAAATGATCCAGAATCAACATATTCAAGAGAAAACTTAATTTTCTCCGTTGGAGAACTCATCATAGCTGGGACAGAAACCACAACAAATGTTTTAAGATGGGCAGTGTTATTTATGGCTCTTTATCCAAACATTCAAGGTAAGGACTTTGACATTTTGAGGAACCGATACATTTTTCTTTTGCAACTTTAAATTTTTTTTTTTTTTTTCCCCAAAGTGGTGCAGTGATCCATAGTTGTAACCAAAGAGGAAGGTTTGTATATATTACTCTAGTATATCATTTACCAAATACACTGTGGACAGAGGTGAAAAGCTTGTTTTATATGCAGATGAAGAGGATATCAAAAGTGAAGTATGATGATAAAATTTTAGCGTAATAATTTGTAAATACATTTTTATGAAGCTTTAATGTTTTACTAAAGTGTTTCTTATATATTTAAGTTTAGTGTTTTGATGCATAACATCAGCTGGTAGATGTACTAATCTATAGTTAATAAGCAAATGCAATTAAATAGGAAATTAATAAACTAAATTATAAACATGAAAACATCAGCAAAAGTGTAAATCAGATTGTGGTTAACAGTTTAAGTACAACTTCTTTTTACCTTTAAGTGTTTCAATTCACAATAGATTTATGTATTATAGTCTTCTATATTTATACTTCCAGAAGAAGAAAAATAGCTTTTAAAAATAAAAATGTGTTACAGTCTTTCTGAAGTAAGACAGCAATATATGTTTGAATGTCAGCCCAGACACTTTGTGCAGAAGTTTGCATTTTAGAAGTGAACAGTCACGTTTCTTGTTTCACTGCCTCCACTTTGCTTTTCCTGTCAAAACCATAGCAGTGCGTAGTTCAACTAAGGACTTTCAGTATTTGGAGACAGAGCAACCTAGAAAACTTGGAAAGTCACTATTGATACTTTGACCAAGGAATACTGCTCTAACATCAATTTTACCTTCATCATCATTTCCAGATTGGGATAACAACAGTACCCATAGCTATACGGCTTTTGAGATCTGTTCTCAAGAGTTCTGCATAGGAACCAGATATCTTTATGTACAAAAGACTGTATTTTCTTCTTACGGTAGCAGATGCATGACTCTATACCTTCTGATCTTCTCAGAATAATTTTTAATTTAAGTTGGGTGGACAAAAGCAATTATTTTAAAATTAGAGATCCCATTTTATATTTATGTTTAACGTAGGTACAGCTTTACTTGAAAAAAATTGAAAATTAAAATATGATGATAATGTATGTCAAGACCTGACATGCTATAAACAGTGAAATACATTCAGATTAAATAAAGAAGTTGATGCTGAAGCTCTTTTGTTGCTGCTATTATCATTATTTTTAAGTCCCGTATTCACTGAGCTGGTTAAAATATCTGGCTAAGCAAGTAGAACCAAAGTTCGCTCAAATATCTCGTGAGAGCCATAACCTCATATATTTTCTTACTTTCATTTACTCAACTCTGTTTTAGTTAGTTGATTAATTAATTGAATATGAGGAAACTGATTAAATATTAAAAAACAGGAAAACTTCTAGCCTAGGATTAAAAGCAAGATCTAACAGGATTCGAGTTGTTAATTTTAAAAACTTTGAGGGACATACTTCAGAGAATTTTGTAGCTTCAGCTCACTAAGCACACCTAATAATTTTTTGTGTGTGGAAGCTTAAGGCTGCAGTTGCTACTTTTAACCAGTCAACACATTTCAGATTATTTAAAACAAATAGGTTTAGAAAAATTGATGCTTTTAGGCTTCCGAGTTCCACTCATTCATCTATATGCTTTACACAGTATAATAAGAAAATCTACCAAAGAAGAAAAACATGTCATAAAACGAAAAAATGAGAATCTGATTTCATAAATACTTAAGTTTTAGGATGCATATATACATTGTCAATATTTTAGTTGAAATATATTAAGTGTCATAATCAGTCAGTAGGATATGTTTGTGCTTTACATTATATAAAAAGCCCAAATGCAAAAAAGGTCTGCTTGAATCACAGTTTCTGATCAGTCTGTCCTGGCTCACAAACAGTATTCATATCTTAAAACAATACCATCCTTATTCCTTCTCTATTGAGACCTGACCAAGATACTGTTTTTCAATAAAGATCAAGAAAACTTTGTAGTTTTGTGTCTCCTGTCCATTGACCGATTTTGTAGAGATCCACTCACCTAAAATAATCTTCTGATCTCAGACCTTGTGATATAATGTGTTTCTGAATTTGGATTAAAAATCTGTTCATCTGTATAAAAATAAAAAATGCTGTTAGGTTTCATTTCTTTAGACTTTCTCTGTCCAAGTATTACAATATACACCTATACACTACTACATCACAGAGTGTACTTTCACTAAGCTGCTTTTCACCTCTTTATTTTGATGTGAAAAGTTGTCACTTCAGATTGAAAAACCTGGTGATTCTGGTAGAACTTTTCTATCACTGCCCAGATTCTCATTATTGGTTCCACATGAATTGTAAAAGTCCAACTTTGTTTTAGTTAGGAGCTATTTGACAGTTTCAAAAGGAAAGTATATTAAGAAAAAAAAGAGACAGTTTATATGCCTTTGAGAATGTTTAAATAACCTATGAACTTCATTTTTAAAATAGCTTAAAAAAAAACAGTGACTGAATTTCTTCGTTTTCAGTTAAACTCAGACTCCTGTCCCTCTTAACTCTATGTTGTATCAGATATTTCCAGTGTAAGAATGGATGATTTTACATGGTGACAATTCGAAAGAATCATAGCAGAATTAGAGAAGGGAAAGTTCAAGTGGCTGATTTCAGTGTTGTCTGTGTTCATTCAAGTATTTAGTGTACTTCATCTTTGCAGGCTTTTGCTTGTTTCTTTAGTTTTGCAGAGCTCCAGTAATAAAAATATACACAAGCAAAGAAGAGTATGTTAAAACACGATTTTACTGAGAATAATTACTTTAGAAATTAAGATTACTGATATATATGCTACTAATAATTCCTACTAGCAGGATAAGGAATATAGAGTCTAAATTTAAAAGCTTATAAGCTACTATATTTTATATAAGATATTTCATGTTTCAGTATGCTTTTAAAAGTAAATATTTTATAGCTTAAATTAAAAAATAAAGGATATTACACACTAAACATCATCTTTTATTCCTGTTCCTAACAGGACAAGTTCAAAAAGAAATCGATTTAGTCATCGGCCCAAACAAAATGCCTGCCTTAGAAGAGAAATGCAAAATGCCATACACTGAGGCTGTTCTGCATGAAGTTCTAAGATTCTGTAATATAGCTCCACTAGGTATTTTTCACGCAACTTCCAAAGATACTGTTGTGCGTGGTTACTCTATTCCTGAAGGCACTACAGTCATTACAAATCTCTACTCCGTTCATTTTGATGAAAAATACTGGAGCAATCCAGAAGTGTTTTTTCCTGAGAGATTTTTGGACAGCGGCGGGCAGTTTGTCAAGAAAGATGCATTTATTCCTTTTTCACTAGGTAAGAGTGATTCCTTCCACTGTTCCTGTTCATAAATCTAGAGATGTGTAACATAAAAGTGATGGTAATAAATCAGGAATGGACAGAATGATATAAAATAACCACAGTTCTGATGAAACAGCTATTTTAAAGATATTCAGTATAATGTGCTCTGGACATAACAGATTTTAGCATAATATCTTTTATATAGATGAGCTCATTATTATATATAAACTAACAAAAACCACAGCACAATATCTTCTTATCTGAGGAGTCTATACATTTTATATCATTGCATTACGTAAGTGTTATTTGTTTCACAATTAATAGTTATTATTTGCTGCAAAAGTCGTTACATAGAGGTGATTTACACAACCAGCTTTCAACTTTCAGCACTTAGATCAGCACCTGCAGTTGCAGATTTTACTCATAACTAGCATGGGGTCAGCATGTAGCACTGCATTCTGTCTTGAGGAAGTATTCTGGCAGTCCTAAGTCATCATGGATTTGTCTTTTGATGCCTATAAGAGTGGATAATTTACCTTACATGTGATTATGACCTTAAAAAATTAGAAGTTCTGTATAAGCTAACTGCCAGGGCTACCTCTGCAGTCTACAGAAAGACATAGCCCTGTGTAGAGGGTAACTTAGCTTATTTATCTGGGATACTCTTTCTCCAAAAACTAGGAGACAAGACAAGACAATTCCTTTGGAATAGATGCACAACATCTAAATGGCCAAAGTTAGATTTGATGAAGTCCATCTTTATTGTGTATTCTATTACGTTTCTTTTTGCCTGTTTGACCTTACCAGTTCCAGGTGTTGTTATCCATTCATCTGTGTCTTCCACAACCACATTTACTCCCTGTAACTAGTCATGCGCAGAATGAGAACTATTATTTAAAGGCGTTATCCAGACCTGTTTCATATGTTTCTCCTTATCAAGTTATAATAATTGCCAGTTAATAATGACTGGCAGTAGATGTAATTAAGAAAATAGTAGGGGACAGAGGCTGAAATTCACAGTATCAATTTTTAAAAACATCTGTCTAGATTGGCACTTCATGACAAGATAAAGTAGCTAATCGCTTATCTAAATAAATTTGACAGAATTAGTTACAATGGCATTTGTGTAGTGAGAGGAAGAAATTCTCTAAAATCTGTTTCTTGCTGTAAATTATCAGCTATCCTCTCATACAGAATACTACCATCAAGTTCATACAGCTCCTTTTAGCACACAGAAATGACCCTTCTTGTTTATAGTAAGAGCGAAAATGTAACTGAACGCATTTTAAGCCTTTTCAAAACCTTCTTTTCAATGCAGGAAGAAGACATTGTCTTGGAGAACAGCTGGCTCGAATGGAAATGTTTTTGTTTTTCACTTCATTACTACAACGATTTCACCTGTGTTTTCCTCATGGCGTGATTCCAGATCTCAAACCAAGATTAGGCATGACATTACAACCACAGCCATACCTCATCTGTGCAGAGAGACGATGATGAGAAAGATCTAGATTGTCAGGTGGAGCACAGTGCTCCAAGGTGCAGCTGAGGATCCACTTTGCCTTCTATTTCTAAATGTGTTCATGTCAGAAGAAAAAATTTAAATGACTTGCAGATAAATTCTGACTGTTCACAAGTTAATAGTTTCTTTTTACTTGGATTTCACAAAAAAAAGTGTCAACCAAAAACATGAAGCATATCCTGTGTTTAAAGTTGATGTTTTCACTCCAAAGTCTGTTTGAATCTAACTTCTCCTTCAGCTTTTAAATATTTAATTACTTAGCAAGCCATTTTACTTTGAGAGGATATTTTTATAAGCATGGAGAATATGGAGAATATGGTTCAGTATGTTTATACTCGGATTCATCCACGGAAATCTCATTTACATTATTCCAGCTAAGCTATTCTTTGTAATTCTCCATTAAATTTACATAGCTAAAAAGGTTTCAGAGGTATCTATTTAAATTTCTGTAACTCAGAATAAACTATTTTTTCCAGCTTTGACAAACAAATTGCTTATTAAAGCATTTTAATCCTTCCTGCTTGCCCTGTCTTCCTAGTTGGTCATAATTTTCCAGTGAATCAGATAACTGTGTGAATTCACTTTTAAGATCTTTTATGGTTTGCTTCTCGTTTAGTAACACATAGAAAGTGTTCAACTACTGCCGTACTCCTGACAATTACAGCAATCTTTTTTGCCAGTTTATTGTGTTTCCAGATACATGTCCTCCATTGCCTCCCAACACAAAGCATTATGTAGTGATTAATCTCTGGCTAAGTAGTTTGGAGAACATGGTGTGTGTGTTACCAGAGTCACATGCAACTATCTACAAGTCAAGAAAATAAGCTGCTTAGAAGACCGACCAGGGAAGAGACCTTTTTCGGAGGGGAAGTGGAATAAGGTGGGGAGAAACAGATTTTAAATGGATTTTAAGCACAAGTTTCAGGCATAACAGCTACTCCTGACTTCTGCCAGCTTTACTTTTTATTCTTGGCAGGTATTGCTTTTTGGTTATTGGTAGATAAAAGATTTATGCATGCAGGCCATACAGGAGAACCTGAGAATCTAAATATGGTATGTTCAGTCCCCACCATGTGTGGAGAAGCAGGGCCTGAGAACAGGGTTCAGAGCAAAAGACACACTGGGCAAACGGCTATTTAAGCACTGGGATGAAGATTAGACCTTGCTCTTTATACAGCTTATGCTTCAACTTGGAGCTGCAGGAAGGTTCAAAGGCAGAAATTGTTTTTCTGCTGACCTAATGTTTCCAGCTTATATGGAGCAGAAATACTTCCTTTCTTTTGAAATAGCAAACGAGAAGGATCAAACAGAGCTAATACCAGTCCACTTATATAATAGCCTATTGACTTAAGCAGGTCCAGATTAAATTACTTACTCTGAGGGGAGTCAGACCCACATGCCCCACCATGAGCGTCTCAAACATATGTTCCTAGTGCTCTGAAGAGGGTGGACAGGCTCCTGCTCTTGCCGAATAACTGCCTTTCTGTAGAGAAGATTTAAAATTAAAAAAGAGGAGGAAGGAGGTAAGCGTCATCACTGTGCATTGGGCGCACCATGAAAGCTGTGAATAAACTGCTCCTAAGATATTGGCAAAACAGTGGGGCTTAGCAGTCAAGACTGAAGCTTTTCTGGGTACCTGCATAAGTAGATATTGTGTGCTGTGAAATGCTTGAGTAAAAATTCTGGAACCTACCAAATTTAGGTGCCTTCAGTATGAAGAAATACTGAACAGAAAAGTTCAGTGCTACAGTTCTGGACTCATGGTAATGCTTCCTATAGCCCACCCTGTGCTCTTAGATCAGACAGAGTTTCGTTGTATCTGGGTTTGCCTTCCGGGTTGCAAGAACTAGGACATCGTTTGGTTAAAACACGATTCAAATAGCCCTAACTGAAGTGGGGGAAGGATTAAAAAAATCAAGAACCAGTTCTTGCAGGGGCTATGCTCAAAATGCAGCTGGCCAGTGATAATTTCCTTTTGCTGAGGCATTTTGAGATCTAACTCCTGGCTAGTCTTTAATCCATTTAATGAGAACCATATTGATTATATGTCATTCTGGTTTCTAAATCAAAACGCCTTATAAAAGCCTCAGAATATCAATCCAAACTTTTACCATTATCTGTCAGCTTACAGTCTCGTTTAAGCAATCAAATGCATTTGACAAGCTGTCTTTTCTAGAAATCTATGTCAGTATTAGTCATATTTACATGTTTCATTCTGTACCAACTTTTTCATTATTTTCCCTCTGACTTAGAATTATCCTAATGATCCAATTTAATAATTTGGAATACTGACATAATAATAGTTTTTTCCAGTCCTCTGGAATTTCTCCATTGTATCAAGATTAATTAGTAATGAACATCAGTAGCAAGCCAGATGTTGAGAACTTCCTGGTGAGAGTTTTCTGCAGCTGAAATATCTAGCATAACTGGCAGCCATTTAATGTTGTTTTGGGATTAAATGTTGATATGTTAACCAGTATGTCTTTTTCTGGTTGTAGAATTTAAGGATGAAAAAAGACATTAAGTAATGTGTAAAGGTAAGATCACTCCCATTTGCAGTTTTTCCTATGTGGCTTTAAGTGTCCTAATGTTTTGGATTAAAACAATGTGTCCAGATACTGATGGAAAGATTCTTGAAATTTAAATTGTAACCTCTCTGTTTCTGTATATTATTGCCATTTATTGTGCTCTTCGTTTCAAGTTTTTGAGTTTTATTCCCTCCACTATTTATAGTCTTCTCATTTTTTACTTTTGCAGAGTTAGCTCTTTGAATTCATGATGATAGTTTAGAACTGGAGCACTGTTTCCACATACAGGTGTATCACGACCACAAGAAGAAACTTTCACATACCTTCTCTAACTCCACTGCTGTTCCTAAAGGCAGTGAAGGACTTTTGCTGTAAATGTAGCTAAAAATGCATGTTTAGCTTGCCTTTGCTGCTCTCAATACCTATACAATTTTGAATCATTCTTTTTTCTAGTTTGTCCAGGAAAAAATCCACTTCAGCATTTTTCCCTTCCTGTCAGATTATTGTGATGTCCTTTGCACTGTTTTTTGGTCTTGTTCAGTATTTGTAAATGCAGACAAGATTCAGCGGTCTTTCCTAAAGAACAGGAATTTTAGGATTAAGACTTGATTTTATATTCTTAATTATTTTAATTTCTCCTTAAGCAATAACTAGTTGTCTTTTCTGAGTATAATCACAGAAATTCTGCTAACTGGAGAATATAGTCAACTCACCATTGTATTAGTTTACTATATCCCATTCAAAGATCTCCACAGCCAACTACAGTGTAATACCAGTAGGAAGATTATAAGCTGCTGTATGTTTCTCCTACATCTATTTTCTCCATCTTTGCTCTGGTTTTGTATATGTGCCTTAAAGCAGAAATTCTAGAAGTGGTTCTATGCCTTTCCTCTTTCGTGCCATTTCTGTACCATGAGAATGTGTGCTTTCTTCCCTATTTCTCAGACAGGCTATTCCTATATCTACTCATAGACTAAAGTCCAGGTCCAGGGCAACACATCTTACTATCCAGCAGGAGATTCCCTTCTTAACACTGATGCAAGAGCTGCAGTCAGTACCATACACTTCTGGATTGAATTGGCAGAATTTTTCAGACTAAGTACCAGAAATCACTGTATCTGTAGCAGCCAAAGCACCATTTCAGACTGGACTTTACAAAGAGCCTGCTTCTTTCATCCTTAAATTAAGTGTATTATAGGACTGCGTCAACTTTTAATTCTGTACAGAATCAGGGTTGGAAAGGAGCAAAACTCACTTGTGTTTAAGATACATAGTGACTTAAGAGCTAAAATATGCCTGGAAGACTTGATCTCCCTTGTCTACAGTTTGAGATCACTGCAGAAACCAGGAACTGAACCTGCAAAGAAAACTGTGTTTTCATTGGGCAGAACCAATAGTTCTTTCTGCTATGGGGGTATGCCACTGTATTGTGGGTAAAGGGAAATGTGGTGCCCAGGAGCCCCAGACAGCTTTAAAGACAGCAAAGTGAATATGCTCTCTGTAGACCCAGAATAATTTAGGTTATGTGGGACCATGATCTGGCATTAGCTGAGGGACCTTGCTTAAATAACCCTGGAGATCCACGGCAATGCCATCTTTAGCCTGTGGGTGGCTGGACAACAGCTGGTAAATTTTCAGGTGTTTTGTTGAGGATAGCTGTCACCACAGGCATGGAAATATCTCCCTATATAGTTTCTGTGTATGTCGAGAGAACAGACATGTCACTGACAATAACGTGTTACTGGCTGGACCAAACTCCCAAAGTTACTCAGCATGCCAAGGACAAACTAGGCAACTTTGCATGAAGGTGCTTAAGGTGAGCTCATTTCTTTGCAGATTGTGTTCAACAAGGATTGTTGAAGCAAAGAGTCTAGGTAGGATATCAAAATCAGCTCCTCGTAGTGTCCAAGGTGAGATATTGGAGTTAGGTTTAGAGAGGTACAGGCTCTTGCAAAACTGCACAGATTAGACTGCAAGGGAAGAGAAGCCTAAGTAGTACCTGCTGTATAATGACCATCACACTAATGCTGTTTCTCTGCTTATTAACCCAATTTACCCTTAACAACCATTTTGCGTGCTTGTGGACTCCTTCCCCTTTCTTCTTCATGAATGTTTGCTGAATTTAAGCTGCTGAACAGATGTGCACATCTCCCTCTCCCCTACATCAGGTTGTCTTGCAAAGGAAACTTCAACATACTCCACAATGTAGGCAGTGTTGATAACTATTACTGCACAGGATATGATGTGCACTGACTTTATGCTGCAGGAATGTAGCGTGGTCTCTATTCAGGGGTATTCAGCATCTCTCTCCAAATGTTCTTTGCCCATAACTAGACTAGACCAGAGCTTGAGGTGAAGTCATAGATCTTTCTGCATTTGTTCTGGTGATCCCTCCATAAGCATCATCATCGTGCAGGTAAGTTTCCAATACAAGATCATGCTATTTT